TAGAGAAAAGAAACCAGAAATTATAAATAGTGACTAGCTGCCTAAAGTGCTATTGAATGGGTCTAGTTGTATTCCTCAGAACAAAGATGGTCAATGCATAAACTTCCTCCATTCCTTGTTGATAAAATGCTTCAGATACATACCACTTTCAATCCCAAACCTCTTTTATTCCAGTGTTTTCTCAGCTTTCCGGATTATGAGACAAAAGCTTCCAGAGGTGCTAATGGCATTTAATACCTGTCATTAATACCATGAATTCACCCTGGAACAAGGAGGGAGCCCTGGGGTCCAGCAGCAACCGCCATTGACAGGCAAGGAATAAGCTGGAGCTGCAGCAAGGGACAGCAAATATTGGGAGCTTAAAAATCACATCACCCCTATACTCTGGCCTTCATGGCCTTTGAAAGCTTGGGCAGATGTGGGGAGGACCTGATAGGAATCAGTTCCCCAGAGTGGGAACCACCAGAAGTTCTCTTCAGGTGATGTATAGAAAAGGAAACTGAAGCTTTTGGTCTTTGTAACAGAACCTAAGGGAAATCCGAATCTCTACAGGTAATAGAATCTGGTGCTCTAATTAGAAGCACAAATTAGACTCAACTCAGCACTCAGCTGAGTTTTGTGTTTTTGGTAGTTACAAGCATTCCAACGAAACTCTCTCCAGCCACTAGACTCATGGAAGGAAATGTTCTAGGTTCTGCTGTTTTCTTTCTGTTGTTGTTCCTATTTAATGTTGACTCTCTTCAAATTGATTAGTCAAGAAGCAAACAACATTACTTATTAAACACCTTTGTGAAACAGCATGATAGAATTCTGCTAGATAACTCACGGCTCTTGTTTGATTTCATCTTGTTGATATTTTTAAAAGAATGAAACGTGCCATGTCCTGATACTATCTCTATTTGATTTGGTGCAGGCTGCCTTGGGTCCTGTACTAAACAAGTGAAAAAGGAAAGGTCTTTATTGGTTTTGTGAAGAACAAACACCAAGCAACTCCTTAGTCTTTTCCAAAACAAGGCCAAAAAGAGCTGATTCATCTTCTTATCTGCCTAAAAACTGAATAGTACATATAAAATGGTCAAGAAGAGCTAGGAACCAGAGGGATAAAATATTATCCTTGTCCTATATCCTTTCTTCCCAATCCAGTCGTAGTAGCTTTATTTGACTTGCACATATAAGGTTTGAAGAAAGAGAGATATGTGAAGGAAAAAAGACTAAAGGGAAAACACTACTTCCAAAGGAGTTTATATGGGGGTCACAGTGTTCTTAATGCCAGAAATAATATGTTCTGTACTGTGTGTGCGGCAAAGGGAGTCTTTCCAGGCTGAATCCAGTATATCAGGTTCTTTATGGATATGGTAAATAGAAAAGCGCTCAGTTCTATTTTGAGGGTAGATTAAGTGAGAGCAATGATACTTAGCTCATTTCTGGAACTGGCACATGGAACTGGCAAATTCTGCATGGGAATAAGAGAGATGAACTTTGTGTATAATTCAGACAATCACAGACAGTATATTCTCCCTGAAAGTAGCTTCCTGTTAAAGTCCAGAAATTTAACTCTTATTTCTGTGTCTACAGATTATTCCTATTAGGGTTTGCTTAGGATTGAGGTCAGTATCGGGCCCATCGTACCAATAGGTATTCTACATATGTATTTGTTGAGCTAATGAAGGAATAAAATCACTTACTTCCTTTCTACTGCTGTAGCTCTATTAAGTGTGATACATAGAACAATTTATAGTAAATATTTTCCTTACACATTTGAGAAAAAGCTCTGGAAGATAATTTGACTATTTTGATTCTCATTATGGGCTATCTTTGTCCTTGATATATCATTCCCTACTTCTAGTGAATGCTTAGTCTTTCAATTTATTTCCCATTTATTAGGAAGTAATACTTTTATTGTAACATTCAGGAGGGGGTGGAGTGATACCACACAAGCATTCAATGACCTTGTGGTTTTAGCATCTAATTCCAATAAAGATGAGACCAATGCCTGAGGATTTGAGAGTGGCAGATGTTCAGTGGGGCCACAGAGGAAAAGCCCGTGTGGGATGAATGACAGGCACCAGGTGGCCATGCACTTCTCAGTGACTTTTTAAAGATGGGCTCAATCAATCAAGATTTAGAATAACAGCCAGTATTTTCCAAGTACCTACTACATGTTTGCCATGAAACCCACTTACTTTTCTATATTTTTCTTCCTAATTCTCAAAACAACAAACATGACATATATTAAGGTTATAGTGGCTTTATATTAGAAAATGGGGTTAAATGTGTAAGCAAGAAAAAGCACTTTGGAATTTTCTATTCTTTCTCCATTCACACTGAAAACTTGAGAATTATCTTAAGGGAAGAAAGGGGAGAAGGCTCTCACATTTACATACAGACTTGCCTTTTATTTCCTCCTTTAGTGTAGCTCAGGGGTTCTCAATTCTAAATGTGAATCCGAGTTACTATATGCACTAATTCACATATGTTAAACTTTAAGGGTGATTTAAGGGAGTTCAAGATGATTTTGACTATGCCAGATATTTGCTTCAGGCATTGACTTTAAAACTAACCCTCAGCCGGGCGTGGTGGCTCACGCCTGTAATCCCAGCACTTTGGGAGGCCAACACAGGCAGATCACAAGGTCAGGAGTTCAAGACCAGTCTGGCCAACATGATGAAACCTATCTCTACTAAAAATACAAAAATTAGCTGGGTGTGGTGGTGTGTGCCTATAATCCTAGCTACTCAGGAGGCTGAGGTAGGAGAATCACTTGAACCCAGGAGGCAGAGGTTGCAGTGAGCTGAGATCGCACCACTGCACGCCAGCCTGGTGACAGAGCGAGACTCTGTCTCAGAAAACAAAACAAAACAAAAAACCTAACCCTCAATTAACAACAAACGCTGCTTTATTCAAAATAGGCAATACAAATTTTAAAATGTATTTAAAATTTTCAGAAACAGTGGTTATTGGCAAATGATGTTTCAATGGGTTATGGAAGTATAGAGAAAGTCATTAAATCATCTTCTTTCCCTCCCTCCCTCCTTTCTTTCCTTTCTTTCTTTCTTCCTTCCTTCCTTCCTTCCTTCCTTCCTTCCTTCCTTCCTTCCTTCCTTGCTTGCTTGCTTGACAGACTTTCACTCTTGTTGCCCAGGCTGGAGTGCAGTGGTATGATCTCGGCTCACTGCAACCTCCACCTCCCGGGTTCTAATGATTCTCCTGCCTCAGCCTCCCGAGTTGCTGGGATTACAGGCATGTGCCACCACGCCTGGCTAATTTTTTTTTTTTTTTTGTAGAGACGAGGCTTCACCATGTCGGTCAGGCTGGTCTTGAACTCCTGACCTCAAGTGATCCACCTGCCTTGGCCTCCCAAAGTGCTGGGATTACAGGCGTGAGCCACCATGCCTGGCCAATCAACTTCTTTTCTAACATCAACATTTTGTTGCACTCGGCTCCATTGCCAACCTCAGGAAAGCAAAAGAATCAGATAAAGAAGAGTTCTTCAGGTTCAAAGTTTCTTCAATTAAATTCTCTTTCTTTTACAGTCCTATAGTGTAAGAGAAATCTCTCAACCTTTCTCTGTATCTTTTCTAACCTATAAGAAGGAAAAGCAGAGACATACTTACAAAAAGTAAGTTTTAAAATCCCTCCTTTTCCATCCAAAATTACAACTTTATCTGAAGTAGCCCTTCCTTCTTAAGCCTTCCGAGGTAATCTTTTGCCACATGGCACCACAGCCCAGGGTTTGAGAGCAGTGGTCTCAGAGTCAGGAAATGGGGTATAAATCCCAAATCCACTCCTTGGTAGGAGTGTCACTTTCTGCAATTTGCTTAACCTCTCTGAGACTCCGTTTTCCCAGTCATATGTTGGGGATAATTTCTTACTTCCTCTTAGGACAGTTAAGGAGAGTCTGGAACTAAGCAGGCATTCAATATTCATTGACTGAATAAGAATTGTGCAACACACAGTATTGAAGCAAGCACGTAGTCTATTCTTATTAAAATATAGTTATATAACTATGTATATATTAAAATAGAGGTATAACTTCCTCTTCGCTGCTAAATAAGTGAGAATGATTTTGTTTTAAACATTCTAAATAAACAGAATTGCAGCATGGGAGACATGAGAACATTGGTGGGAAAATAGAATATCAGTACATAAATAGTAAGACACTGTTTGAGTGATTTCATTAATAAATTCAAATTTTGTCCAGTTCCAATTCTACCACTAGATCTCACCCCCGAGATGGCAGCAGGTGCAGGGGCATGAGTGCATTTGTGTACCTCCATGACCATAGCCTCTACAGTTGGTTTCGCCCGTGTTGCCCCAGCATCAGCTCAACCTTGCTTGCCTGGTCTCCTTTAGGTCTTAGTAGTACTGGGCTCATAAGCCCACCTATTCTTATTTCTTCTGGTCTGGGATCCTTACCTAGGGTCTTCTGTGGGGTCTTCCTGCTCTACTGGTCAGCTCCTGGCAAGCTCACTGGCGTCCAACTCAGCAATCCAGGGAGGCTACACTTCAAGGCCCCTGCCTGACTGTTAGGACTATTTTCCAGATTGGTATGGAACATTCCCTAAGGTGGCTTCTTCCAGTAGTGCTAAAGGGCAATGTGGCAAGATCTCCCATGCCATTCAGATTTTCTTCAATGTACCATTTGTTCTCTAGGTCAAAATTATTCCTAGAGACATTATGTGAGATATCAGGAGACCTACAAAGACAACTGCACTCTGCTTTCTCTCTTTCTCCTCATATTCCCACGATCTTCTTTCATTGCCTTTGTATCATACACTCCTCCATGTTAATACCAGCTAAGCCTTAATGGCCCAGTGGCTAACTCCTCTCTACTTTATGTTAATTCTATAAGCTTAATCCTGCATGCTGGGTTGTTGATCTGCTAATAAAGGACGAAAATAAAGGAATTTAAAAATCTTCTCTCAAGACAATATCTTGGTTTGCAAGGCTATGTTTTTTCTGCATAATCCTATTTATGCATGTCAGAAGCTAAATATTACCTTGGTCTTACTCTTTGCACAGCACCAGAACAGAATTCTAAACTCTTCTGAAGACAGATGGATGCATTGGATGGAGTAGGCTGAAGGTCTTATATCTGCAAAAGCAAGAGAAAAAAAGGACATTCATAATTTCTTGGATATTTTCCTACAGTGTTTCAAGAGCAAAGTGGAATTTACTGGGAAATTTCCTCTAAAGAATATTAGAGAAACATTCTTGCCATTAAAACCTGCATGATATATTTAAATAACTCATCTATTATTTCTGTACAGTATAAAATGCACAAAATAAACCAGACTGACTCTCCAAATTCTATACAGTTATAACTCTGTGTTGTATAGATACATTCTCAATGTAAACTATTTTGGTGATTTTATGTTATTGACATTTATTTATGCTGAACTAAGCTATGATCAGTTTCCCTAAATGGAATCCTAAAAAACTATACAGCTGTTTTCCAACAATCTTCCAAGATTAAGATAGTTGTTTTTCGTTATAATGAAACTAATAAATTGTTCGGCCTGGTTTAATTGCTAGTGTTTCGTGTACACGTTGATGTAGATTTTAAACAAGAAAAGCAGAAAACGAAAGTATGTTTTCTTTGGCAGGCATTTGATGTACTTGGAAGAGTTGAAGCTTACCTTAAGCTCCTTAAATCAGAGGATTTAAGTCTGGCTGTTTTGGCAGCGAGGCATGAGGAATTACACAGAAAAATTAAAGACTGCACAGCTGATGCTTTGCAAAAGGGACAAACCTTAATCAGCCAAGTAGACTCCTGCAGGTGAGTAAAGTTGATTTCTTTCTCGGTGTAACAAGCTTTTTCACAGTTTCCACAACCTTCTAAAAAATAAGATGCATGATTGTCTTTTTCTGGTTCTGATGTTTTGCTGCATTATGATGTGGCTTAAAAGGATCTATTGAAGTTTGATCAACAGCTATTCTGAACACAGCCATTGCTCATCCAGAAGTGAGGCCATATTCTAAGCCTGGAGACTTACATATGCTAAAGCTTTCTGTTTACTCATTTCTGAGGAGGGGAAAGAGAATGGACAAAATAAGAAATGGAGCTTTAGTTCCCAAGGCTTTTCAAACCCTAGCATCTTTATGGAATAGCTCCCTCCCTTTGGTTCATGAGTCATGAGTCTATCCTGCCCTGTTTTTTTCTTACTGGAAGAAAATAAAATACCAGAATTTCCTTCCAGTTAGACCTTGGTGGCTCACCATGCAAAACCCTAAGTAAACAGTGACAATTGTTAATCCAACGGCATGGGCACCAGACTGCATGCTTTTGAACAGTGCTCTAGGTGGGCCTGTTTTATGAGCACATTTGGTGAATGCATCAGTGTTGAGCTTAGTGGGTATGAATAGAGAGAAAGACCTTGAGAAAGAGAGAGAGAATGCAGTAGGAAAGTATGGGAAAGACCAGGGATTGGAAGACAAAGAGGAAATGACGGAGCAGATAGTGGAATGCGTATTGACCAGAAAGAAATGAAAGCAGGGCTTACATTTTTGACAGAGACAAAAAAAAAAATATTATAAATGGGTTAAACTCACTTTTTCACCTTCCATGTCTGCAAATCTCCTTGAAACTCAAAGACATTCAGTTTGAAGAACCATGAAATAGGTGAAATGTGATAAAAATCATTTTATTTCGGTTTAAATCCTTGTTCTGTTCCATTTTAGACGTATTTAAAGGTGTTGATTTGGTAACTTTGGGTTTGGGGAACATTCTTTCCAGAAGACAGTCTGAATCTGGACAGAGGTATTTAACCCAGCGTTTGTGATATTTGCTATAGGACCATGCACGACTAAGATTAGAAACAATCCAAGGTCTTCCAATAAAAGCCAAAAAGTTGAGGCTATGAAGACAAGGGATTCTCCCCTTTGAAAAATGAATAGCTGTGTTTTTTACTAAGTTTCTTTACTTTAGCTCCAAGCCATGCAGTAGGTAATAGGGGTGTCCACTAGGCTTCAGGAGTTTCAAGGTGTTCCCTCCCATCCAGGCACAAAATATGGATACTGGAACTCCTCCTTCTGCTCTTTTCCAGCTTTTCCAGAATGTATAAATGTCTTGAACAATACAGAAAACGTCCTATGGGGTGGAAGAGACATTTATTGTGCCTAGACTCGGGGTACATGTTGGACATTGATTTGAGTCATATGATGACTGAATTAAGCGGTGAGGTTTCCAGTTATAATTTTAAAATGGTCCAATCTCAGTTTAACAAATGGGTCTCAAAGCATGGACAGATGTTATTTCTCTGGTCAGGCTACTCTTTGCTTGTGACACGTTCCCTGGCTGTGGAAAGGTTCCTCTCACGCATGGGGAGATCACAATGTAGCTGAAGACCTCTGCCCAAATCTCTGGAGTTCTGTTTGTGGGTTACTCCTTCCTGTCTGGTACCCTGCCCACAAATTTGAGATGCCTTGACTCAAAGCCTGATTCCTGTCTTCTCAACTCAGCAAGAACTCTGGGCTCTGCTTAGGTTCCACCTCTCTGAGCTTTGATCTAAAAATTACCTTCCAGGCAGTAAACTAGTGCAATCATAAGGCTCATCTCATGTATTTTCCTTCTCCAACTGATCACTGCCCTGTGCTACTAATTGTTCAGTGTCTGAAAACCATTGTTCCTGTACTTGTTTTTCTAGTTGGTTAAGATATGAAGGTAAATCCAGTCCCTGCCTCTTGACCAGAAACGGAAGTTCCCGATTCAGTTTTGATGCTTGACTCCTGGAGTTAGAAAAGTAGTCACAACTTTTTACTGCTGAATTTTATCCTGTTTGCTCTAATCAGTAATTCTTGTTTTCAAAACTTACATATAAGAGGAAAGCTGCTTTTATTTTATATACATTCTATGTTTGAGGTTTTACTGACTATTTTTAGCCATCATTTTGTAATGGCTGATATGTTTACTTGCTTCTTTATGTGCCAAGAGTGGTGCTGTCTCATTCAACTACAAAAAACAAACAAACAAAAAACTCTATGAAATAGACATCTTCATTTCATAAACAGGAAACTGAGATTGAGAGAAGTTCAGTTGAAATGTCATGGCATTGTTTTTGACACTCCACATGTATGAAATTAAACTCCCTTGACATTAGTCTTAGTTTCCTTATCCATACCAGTTTTCTTTTTACCTCTTTTGCTCTTTTTGGTCTTAATTTTAACATAATTATCATTTTTCAAAGAGACAGCTACAATCCTGTTTTTCGTGATGCAGACTGGTTTCAATAGAAGAAGAAATAATTAGGTACCATTTCAAAAAGCTTGAATTAATGCTTAGGTAAGTGAGTTTAAGAAAATCTTTAGCAATATGGTTTCTGTCAACATTGTAGTTCCAAAGCATTTGGTTTCCTTGAGATTTTATAATATTTTATAAATCAATACTATCTTCATTTCACAGGAGGAGCTGAAGATAAAATTGTTTCTTGGCAAAGGACATTTTTGGATTCAGAAGGCAGATGTAGAATAAAAACCCATTAAAAATTGAACTGAAATGCATTAGACTGTCAGTTGCAAACTAGAGCCATACATTGCTATTGACCTCAATCCCATGTATTCTGTTTGGGATTTGCTCCCTTTCCTCATCTAATAATTTATGTGCTTAATGAACTGAGTCACCATCACAGGAAAGAAATAGAATGTAAGGATAATATTTCAAGTTGCAGTCGCTGCTGGAGTGAAGATGGAGTTTAGAATGCTGGCAATGGAAATCAATGTAAATTTCAACAGAGCAAAGCAGATATTGCTGAACATCACAGTAGCTTCTGAGACTTCTGAGTGCCAGCCACACTCATGGGACACAATATATTAAGGTTCCTATTACCAGACACCAAAAAACTGGTATGGATAAGAAACCCAAGACTTCATGTTAAAGGAGTTCTAATTCATACATTCTGGGTGCCAAAACAATGCCATGACATTTAAACTTAATTTCTCTGAATCTCAGTTTTCCCTTTGTAAAACGAAGATATACATTTTATAGAGTGTTTAAAAAAATTGAATGAGACAGCACCAGCAGTTGAGCACAAACTCACTTGTTTGTTGAGCCCTGTCTATGTGCACCACCATCAGCACAGAGAGGGCTCAATAAACAAGTACAGTGATACATCGCTTAACAGTGAGGAGGCATTCGGAGAAATGAGTCTTACGATTTTGCTGTTGTGTGAACATCATAGAGTGCACTTACACACATCTTACACACACACCTACACATACTTAGACATGGTATAGCCTACTACATAGCTAAGCTAGCCCGTTGTTCCCAGGCTGCAGACTTGTGCAGCATGTTACTGTATTGGATATTATAGGCAAATGAAACACAATGGTATTTGTGTATCTAAACATAGAAAAAGTACAGTAAAAGCACAGCATTATAATCTTGTGGGACCACCATTGTTGATTGCAATGTTATATGGTGTATAACTATACTTTTTTACTTTCTATATAAAGAGCTTAAAAAAATACTGAGGGTAATATGGTTGTTTCAAATGATTACAGCACAGTCAGTTGTATCAAACTGTATTCATTTTCACTAACTGGAAAGGTAATATTTGAAATAGGGAAGATAAACACTTACCTTAATGTAATAAAAGGCATAATTTAGTATTGGGGCAGGTAGGAATTTCAGAGGCCCTTTGATCTGATTTTTTTTTTTCTGTTAGTCAAAAAATAGGACCTCAGAAGTTTACGTTTATCTGAAATGAAGCTTCCTTAGTAAATCTGAGACATTTTCATTACTGTTCGGTAATTACTACTTTATTAGGAACAGGCCTACACTGTTTTACTATCATGCAATCAAATACATCTGAAGTTTGAGCAGCTTCACAAAGTAAATTGTGGTTATTTACATGTTTTCTTGCCTTTTCTATTTCCTGCATTTAATCTGATGATAATTCTGAGTCACTATTAAATAGTTGTTGTCTTTTTGGAGTACAATATCTGTCACATAACCACTTTAATTTTAAAGGCATTTTAGTGCATTCTTTATGATGCCTAAAAGTGTATGCAATAACAGTTGTCTTAGTCCATTTTCTGTTGCTGTAGAAGAATATCTGAGACTGGTAGTATGTAAAGGAAAGAAGTTTATCTAGCTCATGATTCTGGAGGCTGGAGGGCCAAGATTGGGTGGCCACATCTGGTCAGCTTCTGGTAAGAACCTCATGCTGCCTCATGACATGATGGAAAACTGGAAGGAAACCAGTTATGTATGAAAAAAGGGCAAAACACAAGAGGCAGCCTCGCTTTATAACAACCTGCTCTAGTGGGAACTAATCTATTCCTGAGAGAACTAACCCAGACTTATGAAAAATACATTAATCCATCTTAATGACCATGTTATTTACCTCTTGAAGACACCACCTCCCAACACCACCTCATTGAGAACCAAGCCTCCACATGAGTTTTGGTGGGGACGAACCATACTTAAATCATAGAAATGGCCAAACGTAGACTTATAGTGAAGTTAAAAGCCCCTGGCTTCCAGCCTTCCTCATCTCCCTAAGCATCATCCTTGAGAACCAAGTCTAAAGAAAAACCAAAGATGGCCTGCTACCAAGCAGAATTTTGCATTTATTAAGACACAGGAATCGGTGGTGATTGGAAGTGCTGGGTCCAGGACCTTGTGTGAGGGTAAGATTTTCTATAATGGGACAAAAATGAGGACCTCCTTTTTTTCTCTCAGTTCAGTTACCAATTCAGAGCTGAAAAACATACAAAAACCCAGCAAGACCAGGCTACCTTGTGAAGTATTCATTTGCCTTTCCCGTTTGCCAAAATTAA